AGAGAACTTAATTCAAAACAGCTAAAGAAAGCTAATTTGCGAATTCACTACAATCAACAAGAGCCGTTTTCTAAACAACAACAAACTAAGTAATTTCCACGAACTGAGAGGTTTTCCTCCTTTTATAAGATTTTAAAATCACGTGCGAGAATTTTCTAGTACTTTCTCGAAATCAAAAAGAGATATGTATTAAATGTTTAATGCACAAGCTCTTGTATTTTCAATTGTCCGGCTTAGCTTTCTTTTAATATTCGTCACGCGCTGCACTGCACGGGAAATAAAACCATTCGTAACAATATATTTCTAAACAGCACATTACATCCTAAGTTTTTTACCTGTAAGAATCAGCAGAGTAGCAAATGAATGAAAAGACCAGTAACAGAGATATTTGATTGGGGGTCCTGTTCTTAAGAGGGCCAGCAACTGCCTCTACAGTCTTCTCATTCCCCCCCCTCAGAAAAGCCCTCTCAGAATATAAGTTGCCAAATGTTTTCTATATTAATATTATATTATTAAGGAACTTAACCTTTTAAGAATGCACAAGGAAAATAACCATAAAACAATATCCCTACATATCTAAATAAATGCTCTTAAGGATAAAATGCTTAATAAATTGCATTAATATTTTGGGATATCCCAGAAAATGCAAATGCATAAATGTAGGAGAAATAGAAAAATAGTTTAATAAACATTTAAACAGATAGTTCCTTTACAGTTTTCTAGTAAAATCTTTGGAAATTTTTTATGCTGAATCGTTCAAGTTTAGATTAATTAGACAACACTTAACAATCAATGTCTACCGTGTCACTTAGTTCTGTATATTTAGTCTAGGTATATAAGATAAAAAATTATCACATTGCTCTACAATACAAATATCTGATTTTGTTTCACAATTAACAGACAAGTACTAATTTTAATAGAATTTTATAGCTATGTACTAGAAATATTTTGGTTTACATTGACTACCATAGTTTTTTTAAAAAAGGCTTCTAAAATACTAGAACTACCAATCATAAGTTCTCACACTCAAGCTCATTTTAAGAAATTCAATTGTTTCATGAAAACAAATTCAGTCTTCAAATTTAGAATATTTTATACTACTTCGAGAAAAACTTTATAAACTCATATCTTAGAGATTTATAAATTGAATTCTAAATTGTTCATTGTTCTAATGTTTCTAAATTGCATCTTAAAGCAATTCATTTGCTTCCTCACTCTACTGTATATATTGTACAAAATTTCTCTTCCTTTGCTTAACACTCTAGTGCTCTTTTCAAAAAAGCTATTTCTATCACCGAGCACTTTTCTCCTTGAAGGGCAGGGAATTTGTAAGATTTAAATATATGCAGAAAAATTATTTACAAATTTAATCGGAACAAACTACTAAACTGCTAAAATAAAGCAATAGCTCTTTAAATTTATGATTCAATATAAGTACAACCCCACTTCAAAGCATCTGCACTAACGTCACTCTTAACCTCCAGAGATACATACACCTTACTATGAGCTTTAATCCAATCATTTAGATCAGGTGCCAATCTCATAATAAATAACACAGTTATGTGATGCGCATACTTCAACTATATTTTATTACTTTATTGTAACAGTGTCAAGCAGCATATTTTATTGTGAAATTTTCTATCCTTCGATGCACAACAAATGCTATAAAATTGCTTAAAGTGACTACAAGATCCAGAATACTCAAGATTACTTCCCCTAAGAGAACACTGCACCTAGTGAGTATGTTCCATCCATCCTTACTGAAATTTCACAACTTTACATTATAAAGCGCAAGGGAATTACATGGAAGTAAAGGCTGTTCAGGTCGAAAACTTTTCTACAAATAAAGATCTCTGTTCACTCTCTACTGTCACTTAGTTTGCATCTGTTTGCCGCTCTACGGCATCTTTCATAGTTCTATGTAACTGCATATATAAAATTGTACATCGTTTAGCACTCATAGTGTTGAAACACTCAAGAAAAAATGTGTTTCTAAAGAGTTGTTCCTGTTCAAAAATAAAAATGTTTTAACCACCAAGCTAGCCAGTCCTATTTGTAAAAGTTCCAGTCAACTATGCAGCAGTTATCTCAGTCATGATTAAAAAATGAACTGGTACTTTCCCTAATCTACATCAAATTATCTACAACGAACGCTTTACACATGCACACACACATATATATTACGAATTGTAGTAATAATAATACCATTTAACCATAAAATCACAAAAAACATGTTACTGGTAAATCGACATTTTCCACGATTCCGCAAACAAGTGTAATATGATCTATACACATTATTTTAATTATACAGCTACTGTATTAAAAAAAACTCTCATAAATTTAAAATATGATGAGAAATTTACAGGCAATGGAACTAGCATGTTTTTTTTCAGATACAATATTACCATTATAAACTATACACTCAGTTTGTTGTGAAAAACTTCAGTTTACACATCGCTGGCATTATACTGAAATTCATGCATGATAAACTAACAAATCAAAACACAATTTTACGTTATCAAGCTCAGAATGCTCTGAAGCATCATATAAAAGAAAGATAAGCTAAATGACAAATTAAACTGCTTATTCTAGCATTCTCCAATATCTTTATCTAGAGCTCAAAAATTGGAATAATGAAGATGAAAGAATTTTTAATAAATTCAGTAATACTACAGTTATAAAAAAGGCCCAATTCCACCAACATCTATCACTTTGTTATAAAGATTTAGTTCAGTTTGCTTAATTATGGCGAAGCATGCAAGGGGACTGATGCCTCAGGCCTCAGACTTCATTTTGCTGCAGCTAATCAAATGTTGTGCATGCATAGCAAATCCTGGTATGCCATGTTCGCCAAATGACACCATTTGCATTGGGATTGTTGCAGTGTACAGTGTCAGTTCAAAATGTTTAAAACTAGTGATCAGTCCACAAGCGTAAAATACAGAATGATTTGGTTTTTCACAGCAAGGAACGCTTCAACAGTGGAAATTCATCAACAGATAAGCAGTGTAAGGCCTCGATGAAATGAATGGCAGCAAAGTGTATAAGTGGGTAAGAACTTTCAAGGATGGTTGAGAAAATATCCATGATGAACTTCGATCATGCCGACCATCAGTGATCACAGAAGATTTGATCAATGCCAAGGATGAAAAGATTTGTGATGACCAGTGATTCACAATTTTAACTTTCGCATTGGAATTTCCGAATGTAGGAAGAACAACTTTGCTTGAAATTGTCTCTGAAAAGTTGCAATTTCACAAATTGTGTGCACATTGGGTTCTCAGGCTGCTTACTGAGGAATACCAAATAAAAAGAATGGCTTGTGCTCTTAATTTTTTAGACCGATTCCATAAGGAAGGTGATAAATTTCTAGAGACTATTCTAACAGAATGCAATGTGGGTGTCAGGTTTCTCACATGACCCCAGTCTAAACTTCATTCAATGTAATTGCATCACCATTCAGTGTCAAGCAGACAACCTCAATATGCAAGGTTACTGCAACCATATTTTAGGACATACATGGAGTCTTGTATGTCAAGTTTATGCAGAAATGGACAAATATAAATGCACCTCCTTAATACTAAACTAAACTTAGGTGTGCAATATAGAATAAGCGATAAGGCCTTCTGACGTCTGGTTTCGTTCCTGCATGACAATGCCACGCTCCATTCTGTCATTCACACCCAAAATCTGATCAGATCTTTGGATGGGAACAGAAAAACCACATGGTCTACAGTTCAGGCTTGGCATTGAGTAATTTTCACTTGTTCTGCTACCTAAAGGAGTTTCTCAGTGGCAAGTGCTTCGTCACAGGTAACAAAATTAAAGAAGCAGTTGAAGATTGGTTATCCTCACAGGTGGCAGATATCTATGAGTTACGGCATACAAAAGCTTGTAGAATGTTATAACATGTTTAAATAAATATGGAAACTATGTTTGACAAATAGAGAAATGTGCAAGAAATTAAATAAAAAAGGTTTTTCACAAAAATTTGAGACAGTTCATGTTTTATAACTAATCAAACTTTACATTTTGAATAATATGCATTGAATATATACATACAATTCAAATTTAAGTATTTTTACCTGAATTTCCTCTGATAAAACATCACATTTTCCCAATTGTTTCTGTTGTTTCTAAACACTATGTAATTTTCAATTTGTTTCAGTTGTTTCTAAATACTATGTAATTTTCAATGTATTCAATGTGTTCTAAAAGCATTGCTCATTAATTTAAACATTATTTTACATGGAATTTGTCAAAAATAAATTTCACACTAGGCAAATGAAAGGCTGGGAATTTAACACAGAATTAATATTGCACAGAATGAAAAACTTTTCATTCAGCACAGTAACATGGTAGTTCAAAAACAATTTCAGCCATAATAAAAAGGTAACTTAATCAAATTTTTAGCCTCTTGATTCTATGCCATTCCCAATTAGAAGCTTTACCTATATTATGATAATAAATTGATTGTAAGCTAAGGTCAAATCCCATGCCATGCCTTTTTTATACCAGTGCCAATTCTTTGTAAAGTGCAATCAATCTTCTAAGCTTGTGATGATTCTGTGGAGATAACAAATGCAATTAATAATCGTACTCATTATCCTCAGAATTTCTTTTTACTGTGTTGATTGTATGTCAGAAACTAGCGTGTCAAATGCTGGTATCAATTTTATGCCTTGTCAAAGCTATGTAGCACTGATAAGAATGTAAGCAAGACAGCAATATATCAGACTTAAAAACCAAACCAAACATTTTTTTTTTTTTTTTTTTTTTTTTTTTTGCATACCTAATAGTTAATTTTTAACTGCTTTATGTTTCTATAATGTCAAAGATAGACTCTTGTTATTAGAAATCTTAAGTATAGTAATAAATTTTGAAAACACATCTTCTACCCTTCAAGATAAAAATTATTTTTGTAAATATGTTATGTCTGAAGAAAAGAGATTAAATGTAATAAACTGCATACTAAATGAATAAAAAATGAATTACTAACATTGACAATTCATAAATATTTTAATGTACAAAATATGCATTATTTACATGTAGATTATATTTGCATGGAGAAAGAATACAAACATCGGTCACTTTGGCTACAATGATTTACCAAAGTAACGTCATATCTTTACTACCATAACTCCTAGCAAATAAATTCTTTACATCTTTAATAATTAGTAATTACAAAAATAAGCACATACATCATTAAGTAATGTCACGGGTCCCGAACGTTTAGATCAGAACCCTTATCGGCCTCATCCACCGGGAGGAGGAAAATATCCTGGTGAAGCTAGAAGTAAAACAGAGAATTATGTTTTTTATGCTTAAGAACACAATAAAAAACAATGAGGAAAAAACTTCTGAATATCTTAGCGTTTACACCACAGCATTAAGGTGTCAGGTGCTTTAAATATTTTTTTTAAATCAAACTATTTTATGCTTTTGTATTAAAATTTGATTTCCTATTAACATTTTAAACATTTATTAACTTTAAGAAACTAATGCATTTGCTAGATAATTTCCTTTTTAGTAAAGATTTCATAAATATATCATTTTCCCGCTTGCATGCATGGTTTCTGAGCTAGCAGATTACAATTCCAAGAAATTTTTATGTACGAGTATGTATTTTATCTGTATAAAAATGAACCATTATTGTGCTTTTGACATACAAACTTTTAAACTATAATTAAATCTGCATGTTTATGCATCTGCATTATGAATGCTTTAACTCATATCTTTAGCTCTCTTTATTAATATTAAAAAATATTCTTTACGCTAAGATTTTTCAAAACTATTAATTTTTCTCCTATGTGCACGATTTCTCCGAAATCATTTGTCGGAATTTCAAGAAATTTTGATAACGTATATAAACCCTATATAGGTATAATATGACCATTTATTATGCTTAAAACTTTAAAATACTGCATTAAAACTTGAGAACTCACACTTAATAATTTAATAAAACTTAATATTAAAAAATTGTCAATTTTCCATTCTCAAAACTTGAAAATTTCATTTGTTGGGAAAATGCTTGATTATTTTTAAAATAGGTCATTTTACTTACATCAGTTTAAAATCTAATCTAAGCTAAATCTTACTAATTTGATTGGTATTTGCACAAATAGTGTACCATCTATGGGAAGAAAAAAAGGATTTGTTTGTTCACTAAAAAAAGGGGATAATATGCATTTAGAAAAGTTAGCATCATTTCATTCTATAATGCACCAGCAAAATCCTTTTACAAGATACTCAAGTTATAGCTATTGCTAACTTTATTCAAGTGATCGGATATGCCACTGTGAATTATAAAAATTGCTTATATCAGATTATGAAATGTATAGTTTAATTTGCCCTATAACTACAAAATTGTTTGGTGATATATTTCAAAACTTTACTCTCTTGCTCGGATGTATCTGAAGAACATTTTGTGCTTTTATCAAAAATCTGAAACAAGTAAAAATATGAACGCAAATGTTTTAATAATTTAGCTGTCTTAAGATTCCTTAGTTGAACATATGGATAGAATTTCGGATTTTGGGAAGCATACTCATATAATGCAATCAGCTTTTGAACCACACCTGATCAATGGAACTCAGTTTGAAGAACACAATACTATTAAATCTTTTTTTGTAATACCAAATCAATACTGATGGAATACCAAATATGAAAAAATGTAGCTGAAACTCAAACTTGCATGCCTTGTGCTTGCCTTCTTTGTTCGTTTCCACTTATTATTGTGAATCAACATTTCACATTTAACACAAATAAAAAATAATTTTAGATCACAGATAACTGATGTTCATTTAGAAGATCTATAAGTTACAAACCTTGAAACGAATATTCGATTCATTCAAGCAATAAAAAAAAAGCAAAAATCACATTAAATTACACTACGTATATTATGAATGCAAACTAAAGCAATTACCTGATATTTTCAGGGCCTCACATGCAACTCAAATATTTTTGTGTGTAATGTTGTTTGCATTAAAATAAATCTATTTAAAAATAATTCGATAATAATTGCAGAACAACAACACTCAAGATTCTGTCAACTTGTGTAGCCTTTTAACCTATTCATAATGAAAAACGGATCAATTTTATTCCATAGCCACTCAAATTTATATTCTTGTATTTATTAGGTGGAGAAATTTTTGACATTTGAGGATACAATCATGTGAAATATATCTGCAAAGTTAATTTTTGATCTGATATTATGTTCAGAAATTATCAAGGTGAGTAAATAACAGAATTACAACAGAAATTTCTTAATCTTTAAAAAATTTCATATTTGAAAGTGAGCCTTTTCCAGTTACATTCATCACAAAAAGGAAATATTCTCACAGCAATTTCCGTTTTGGAGAATGCAAAAAAACATTTTTCACTTATGTGTATAAAATGTGCAGGTGAAATGGTGCAGACCTTCACCATTTCACCTGCTTTCTTTCACATAATTTAACAAGATTAATATTCATTTTCAGAAGCATAATGATATTTCAAAACCACCAATTCACAGAAATAGGATCCTTGCTGTAAAAAAAAAAAAAAAAAAAAAAAAAAAAACTGCTACTTCCCCCCCTCAATGTTTTATGATTTATCTGTCTATTCTAAACATTCAAACCTCTGAGGAAAAAATCTGACTTTAAATTTATAAATCTTTTATTTTTAGATAAAACATTCTAGGAGAAACATCCTACAATTCTGGTTAAAAATCACTGTGCTCAGAAGCTTCAAATGATTACATTCTAACATTTTCAAAGCTTGATTAAACATAAAAAAAACATAAATTGTACATATGTGTTTCTATCACAACATATTTTAGTATCTCTTAGCAATGATTAAAATTTATATCAATGAATCTGATCCGGACCAGAGAAAAATTACAAACGGGAAAAAATATCTGCACATCACACGAAACTGATTTTTAAAAACACATTGCCAGCTACTTACCTACTGTGTCTGAAAAAGTCCTGAAATTTCCTCTGCCAGGAGGCCTTGGAGGATTTCTAAAATAAATAGCAATATTTAAAAAATGCATAATTTTGAATAGTGTATAAAATATTTACATGTATTTTACTGTGCTCCTTAAATCACATCAGAGAAAGAACAAACAAAAGTGCAGTACAGTACAAAGTCCATAATCTGGACTCACCGGGACTTTGAAGATTCCAGATTAGGGTTTTTTCCACATTATAGATCATCAATTTAAATCATGTAAGATGGCATGCAGAAATTATACAATTAAAAATATGAAACCATAATTTATGAAATAAAGAGCAATTATGATCTAAAGGGTATCAAAATTTACAAAAAAAACAAAAAAAGCTTAATATTTATTTGTTTACTTTATTAAACATTTCTTTCAATGTAAGTTGTTTCGTTTTTTGTGCTAATACTTTCTCTTTAATTCTATAAACAGACATAATTTCTTGTTCAGTTACAAAGTTCCACTGTTCAAGTACTGTAATTGCTGTGTAGAGAATACCGACTAACTTGTCAATCATAATTTTTTTCGTTTTCAATAACCTCTCTGTCACTTTCTTTACTATCAGAAGTGGTATCTTCTGGATCTAGTACCATACTACAGATTTCACCGTCTATTAATTGATTGATGATTGGGGCATGGTCGTCGCAATGAAAAACTTCTGTTATATCATTTTTATTTATTACCGCTTCTCCACATTTCTTTACAAAATCCAGTAACTGGAAAATTTCATCTTTGGTTTGCGATGTCCGAAAACCTTCAAATTCGCGGCTATCATCCTTACCCTCCTCACCATGAAATATGGTACCTGGCCATAAATTATGTCAAGCATTTTTTAATGCATCTGGAGACACATCCTCCCACAATCTTGTGATGCTCCACACAGCAGATTTTATGCTAAAAAATTTCAAAAAGTCTTGAACAGTCTTGCCAAAAATTGTTCAAGAAAATTAACATAGATTTTAAAAATGCTACTTTATATTTGCATATCAGTGCGTGCACTACTCCCATATCCATAGGCTGAAAGATAGACATACAATTTGGAGGGAAGAATACAGATACATTATCTTTCACTAAAACTTTAAATGAAGTATGTGCCGAACCGTTGTCAACCATCAGGACTATTTTAAGTCATCAGGTAAACCAACCGAATTCAAATGTCGCCGAGCCTTGGGTTTTAAAAAGATTTGCAAACCAATCATTCACCAACGCTTGTGTCATCCATGCTCTTTTATTTGTGCGATACATAACAGGGAAAATCGTTACTCCTTTAAATGTTTTTCTTTTTTCTTTTTCTTTTTTTTTTTTTTCATGATCATCACTTTTAGCCTAACAAACCCTTTTTCTGTTATTCATTTCAAGTGGAGTGTCGGAATCCACAAAAAATTCAAAGTTCCTTTTTCTTTTTACTTACGTCATATGCAGTTGACTTTCCAATGTCATACTCCTCGCATAATTTTGAGACGGGTAGGCCTTTATCCATATTTTGCAGCAATTCCACTTTTTGTTTGATGGACATCGAAACATGCTTTCGCTTCGTGGATCCTTTGGCAGCTCCAGAATTGGAAACTCTTTTTGACATAATCGAAAGCTCAAGCTTAATTTTTATAAAATTGCTTTAACAGTCTGCAAAAAATAATAAGCCGGATCTAATTAGAAGATTAAGGAACAGCAGAATCTGCAACATTAACTGAAATGCCTTAGAATCAGTTTAGCCTAGCTTTTACCGTCCGTTATACATTAAACATGTTATGCGCATGCCTAAAGCATACAAAAAAAAAGTTTGTGGCTTTGATGTACGGATTATAGATCATTCCGGATAATGGATGTCCGGATTACGGACTTTGTACCGTATATGATTTACAATAAATACTGCAAGAACTCTGTAAACTTGGCAATTCTCATCTCTGCAAGGTCTTTGTTACTTTTTGTTCAGTACTCTGCCAAATTCTAGAAATGTATCTTGGCAAATATCTTCATCTTAGTTTGATGTGTAAAAAATGAATATTGTGCATAAAATAATTTCTCACTTCCTGAGAATCAGCACTTCCATTTTCATCACCAAAATTACTTTTAAATTAACTGTAAAAATACAGTTAATTTAGAAGTCAAACAACCAAAAGCAGCGGCGTTATATTTGCAGATTTTCATGAAATTGTGAAAATTTGCAAATATAACACTGATTTTTGTTGTTTGACTTGATTAATATTTGTTCGGCGTGTTATTTCAACCTAATAAATACAGTTTTTTCACTGTTAAGTCAAAAACTTCTGAGTTATCTATGAAAAAAGCATGACTTTGTAATATAAGAAATTATGAAAAATGTTTTTATTTGTTCAGCAACTTAAATCTGATACATTAAGAATTATTCAATTAAATTAACAATTTGAAATTCTATTTCTAAATGAATGATTAAGGACAAGTATTACTATTGTGAAAATCTGCCTTAAGGCCTTATATCCAACTGGAGTAAAATTTAAAAATCTGCCATGTAGTTCCCCCCCCCTAAATTCACGTTTCTTATAAAATTCTTCTTTTTATAATTATTTATAAAAAGAACAATATCTATGAGCCATTAAGATACCCAAAAAAAAAAAAAAAAAAAAAAAAAAAAAAAAAAAACCATTTTTTGCCAATTTACAGTTTTTATGGGGACAAAGATAATCAGAAAGTACAATAACTCATCTCTTTGAAATGGGACACCAAAGGCATATGTCATAATTACTAGCAGCTGGCAGTTTTTTAATTACTACATGCTTATTATTTCTACTTATTTTATAAATGCATGGACATTACTATTTTTAAAATATATTTACAAATATAAAATGTTCATTTCAAATAAAATTATCCTGAAATTGCACTAATCATTAGAAGTGAATTAGTTCAACTTATCAGCTGGATAATTTTACTTACCCTCTTCCTGTACTGGACCGACTTCCCTGCCGTGAATCATTCCCAGCACTTAATAAAGGCTATTGAGAAATAACTTCTTATTATAAATCATATCATATGATGCAAATGCAAAATTTTATGAAGTACATTAAATATAAATAAATTTGTGTAAAAATTTTAATTTAGAGACTATTATTATCATGTATTCATCATTCAAAGCAAATAAACAATAGAGTAAAAAAAAATTGTTAGTTATGAAATGTGGGGGGGTGGAAAGGTTCTATATCTCTCGTTCTACTGGGTCGATTGACGAAATTCAAATTGTGTTTTTCATGTCTCAAAAGCACAACTTAATACTGCTCTAATATAGGTACAATATTCACTTTTTCTGAAATTGCATGCGAATTTTTTTCCATATTTCAATTCTATGACTCAAGTTATGCCTAAATAATAAATTTTGTAAAATCTGGTGCAAAATTTATCTTTGATGCAATTTTTTTAGTTTGTGTTAGGAATAATTCATTAGGCAACTTCTTAATTTATAGCAAACTATTTTCCCCCTTTTTCTTTTCTTTTCTTTTTTTTTTTTTTTTTTCTGTAAACAAGCAGGAAAAAAGTCATCTTTCATTATTTCAAATCATTTTAACAAAGTGTGTAAACCACATTTGTCATTATTATCCCTTATAATAATGTGCCAAATTTCAAAATGCACCAATATGTAAATTCAAGTATATCCTAGGAAATTTTGAATTAAAAAACTCTAATTTTTTGCAGGTACAATTTGAAATACATCTACTTTAAGATGATGGTAAAAATTTTATAGGTAATAATTCAAAATTTTTTTTTCAAAATATTTATAAAAATTATTTGAAAAATAAATCATAAAAAATGTGCGAATTATATTTGGATTAAGCCTAAATTTCAAATTCTGGAAGAAGAAATCAAGTAAGTTTAATAAAAAAGAGATATTAATAAATATATATCAAATTTAATTAAATTGTTTCACAAGAAAAAGTTAAATTAAATTTAAATAATTCTCTTGCGCCATTGCTGCAAGGAATGAAATTTGAATTTAACAAATATTCTCTATTTGTATAAAGTAAATATAAAATTAATAAAACTTTAATTAAGAAATTTTAATTGCAAAGAAATAAAAATAATTATTATTGCTGCGAACTAATTTACAATATTGTTTAAATTCTAAGAGCGTATGTAAATTAATTGCACTGATCTAAAACCATGAAATCCAAAAATGAAATTTATTATTCCTAAAAATTGCATAAGTGAGTAATTGTTGAGTAGGCAGGAAACAGGCTTATCAAGGGGAAGTTGCCTCCATACCTAACTCTTCAATTCAATAACTACTCAAATTCGTTTTTCGTCATCAATATAGGCAAGAGTAAAAGTAAAATCAAATGCTGTGAATTACAAAAGAAATTTAAACAGTGGAATTTTGAGAAAATAGCAAGTTAAAATTAATTAAATTAATTAAAAGTCAATTAAGAGTAGAAAACCAAAGTAATTTAAAAACTCTTGTCTACAGGAAACTTCCCCAACATGAATTATGCATGTAAACCTAAAATAAATTATATACAACAATCAAAATATAAAAATAATGATGCTACTTTATAAATAATGTGTTTTATTATGCATAAATTCTGTGTTTTAAATATTATTTACAGCTTCTAAATATAAAAAATCAATTTTATTTTGCATTTTTATTTAAAATAAAAATTTTATTGTTTATCATATTTTATGTAATTTTATGTCGTGGATGATGTAATGAATGACGCCACATTACTTTAAAAGTAATTGATTTCAATATTTATAAATTTAATTTACTGTTTTAAACATTATTTATGGCTGTTAAATATTAAAATACAATTTAATTTTGCATTTTTAAATGATTTTATTATGTATGATTATTTAAATAATTTAAATTCTGGTCGTGATGTAATCAGCTCCCTGATTGGTTACAGAATATTTGTGCATTAACGAGCTGTAATCAGCTCCTGATTGGTTACTGAATATTTGTGCATTACCGCGCCATTTTAAAATTTTATTATTTATCTCTTCGAATTCCTTAGATTACATTTTCAAAATTTTTCTACAAATTTTTTCCCTTAGATTACATTTTTTTAAATTATATAAATATATGACAGGTTAAATACTCAAAAAATTGGAAGTACATATTTTTCTTTTGCTTTATAATTATCTCCTTCAATTTTTATTAAAAAATACACTGTTTTCAAAAACTGCCGAGATATTTATTGCCACATGTTTTAATGTTAAATAATTATATCCTATAAAACTTATTTTAATTTGAATTTAAGTAATATTTTAATTCTTTTAAAAGTTGGTATAACGTTTTTAATTCGATATTAAATTTAAGTAATGTTTTAATTCAATTAAATGTTGGTACAATGTTTTTATAGCAGTGTTTTTATTCTATTTCTTTGCTACATGAAAGTAATAATTTAACCTTACTTTAGTATTTTATACTCATAGCAAATGTATTTATTTACATTTGCCTGCCATCTTAAAAATGACATTTTCAACAAAAAATTAATCCATTATTTTAACAATATTAATTTTTTTAAAGTTTCAAATACTTAACTACGCGTAAAATACGTAAAAACAGTTTTTTTCAAGATGGCCGACGATTGTAAAAACCGCGCTAATGTCAATCTCCAAAAATCCGTGCTACCATCTTACCAGAGTAGCACCAAAATAATAATAATAATAATAAGGCTAGTAAATAGCAAGTTTTAATTTAGCTTACCAAGTTGAATTTCTGAGTTGTCCTAGCATTTGCTAAACTAGTTGAGTTGAGTAGTTTGTTACTGCTAAACTGTAAAAATAGAGGTCTAATACTGTGTAACGCTGCTACCTGTGAGAGCTATTGTAAAAACCTATATTGTAAATTTTAAAAACGTAAAATGCTCATTTTGTGTGCAAAAATATTGCTAACTTTGAGTTATTGTTAAAAAGTATAAAAGTAAAAAATATGTACTGCTACTGTTTGTGAAAATAGATGTTGCAAACTACTAAAGAATAAAAAAAAAATTTGAAAAAACATTTTTAGTAAAAAATTTGAATAAATAATTTAATTGAATAAATTTAAATTGAATTAGAATTGGAATAGAAAATTACGAATTGAAATAGAGAATTACTGCAAGAAATTTTTTGTACTAGACTGCATTATTTAAAACTGAAGTTACAAGTTCAATCAAATCCTTAACTAAATACTGGCCAAAGGTAAGGAAATTAGAAAAATTAGATATAAAATCTTCACTCAATTCGGGCTATAATTGAGACTTTTGAAAAGAGTTGGCCCTTCATTAGTAAAAGGAAAGACACCAGTATTGATAAAATATACATTTTTACAAAATATATTTACTAGTAATCCTTTAACTCTTCAAAATCAAATTTAATTAACAATGAGGAACTAAAATTTTGATAGCTAAATTTTTAAAAACTACTTTTGCGATTTTTACAAAACTCAGCAGTTTGGCATAATTTGAGTCATAGAATTGAAATATGGAAAAAAATTGGCATGTCATTTCAGAAAAAGTCAGATTTTTTGTCAAAGTACCTATATTAGAACAATGCTATATATAAATCTAATACATATCCTCAGTAGGCTTTTGAGACATGAAAAATGCAAGCTGAATTTTGTCAATCAGCCCAGTGGAATGGGAAATGTAGGATTGTCCTTTTGGGGGGGGGGAAGGAAATGTACCTTAATTTACATTACAGCTAATATAAACTACCACTGTAATGAAACTGTATTGTTATTTAATTTGCTTACAATGTTATGTTTACTTAATAACTCTTGCAGCTAATCACATTCTTTACAATAGAGTCTGGATGATGTCAAAATATCCTAAGCAGAAGAAAATACTTCTCTTTAAAAGCTTATTATACCCCTGGAAGCTAAAACACTTTATCTCTTTCAAGAAACCAGTTTGCATCATTATATGCTGCATTTTCCTTCCTTTTGTATTATTAATACACACCTTTAAAGATCAGTCCAATTGCAAACAGGGAAGACAAAAAAGGAGAAAACAAAATTAGTATAAGAAACTCAAATCATTTTTAAGTACTTTAAAGGTCCTTAGCACTGGTCTAAAATGGTTAAAAATATAATTAGAAGGGAAATTACAATGCAGTAAAATTTCAGTTCTTATTCAGTGTTTGAGTAAAAGAAATTAAGGGCCTCATAATTATTCGGAAAAATTCAAAAATGATAAAACGAGATTAAGTGAACACAACTCCTCATACAGGAATACTTCATTTTCCTTTCATAGCACTCTCTGCCATCTAATCCTGGCAAGAATCAGATCCTGACAATCAAGTGCTATGTCACCAAAGTAGGCAATCTGGAATTTACCAAAAATGTATTTATCTGGCAACTTACTAATGGTTGCACTTTGTAATGCATGTGGTTTTGAAGTTTGTGGTTTCTGCTTGTTGCGATTAGTGTGTGAAGTTCCCCTCCCCCATCAATAAATTGTAATGCCACTGTGGGGTCTGCCTGATAATGGAAAAGAAAAAGGTTGTATTGTATTTTTTCCAGAAGTAGGGTGTTTTGTCTAGAAGCAGAGAGTACAGGAATGTGTATTACATCAAGTTAATTTGGAGAATTCTCTAAGTTAAAACATGTCGATAAAGAAAGCAGTGCCACGTTGCTCTGTAATGTTGAGAAATTTGCAATTCTCTGATTTTTTTTAGTTCAAAACAAATTGCTGTATACATGGGCAGAAGACCAGGGAAAAAGAAATTTAAGTGTTTTATTATGGATGTTAATTATGTGTTTAATTCAGTTAATGTTTTACTGTTTTATGTAATTTTCAGAGTTTCATTACGGATGTTTTTTACATAATTTTCAGTCAGCTGCTATTTTTAAAATAGCTACTGTTTTTCAGATGTTAAATTGGAGAAACATTAGTCGCCAATGACTGGCGAATTTGCGAGAGGGTTGGGTGGTTAATTAGAGAGTACTCAAATATTTAACTGTATGACTGAAAATAAAACTATAAATTTTTAATTATATATGAAAAATAATTCCTCTGAAAAAAGGATATAAAAAAAACTATTATAATTAATGCTTTATATAATTTACCATTTTAATACATACAATGGGTGATAATACAGTCTAAGAATAAATTTATATTTGATATCTTTAAATGCAACTAATAAAAAAATATTACTTACATCAACAAACTCCTGAAGCTGCAAAAATAAAAAAAAAGGCTGCATAGTAAAAATATTATAACTCTCATGCACACACACACACACACACACACAAAAAAAAAAAAAAAAAATAAAAATAAAAAAAAAAAATAAATAAATAAATAAAAATCAAAACTACATTAGAAAATGTAGAAATTTTAATTTTAAACCTTTTAGATTCTGAAAACCATGTATTTTTGGTCATATGTTGTAATACATTCATCTTTTCATACACAAATCTACTTTAAGAAATTAAATGACATTGTTTATATAGTAATTTGAAAGAAACTGCGATAAATTGTGAAACTGTGAATATATTACAGGCAACGACAGGTATGGGTTATTTGAATGGAAGTTCAACAAATAAATTTTGAAATAAATATCCAGATATGGCATTACATTAGTGCTTTTCCAACTTAAAGAAAACAAGTTATCACAGGTAAAAAAATTGTAACATTTTATTTCTTAAAACACAGATATCACAGGTAAAAAAATTGTAACATTTTATTTTACAATGAAATGTAATGAAACCATAACATTGCTTACAATATATCTTTCAGCACTGATTACAAAATAGTCAAGTACAATTTTTTATAATTAAATCCACTTGTCTGTCCTTTCTGAGGCAAACAAACCAATAATGTTTTCACAGAATTTAAGTATGTTATTTTTTATTATTTATTTATTTTTAATTAAGAGCATGGCTAGGGTGCTTAGTTTGTCCTCACTCAAAGTGCTTCTTAAAAATATCTTAACTCATTTTAGAGTTGAGAAGTATCTTTCAGCCTCAGCAGTTGTCATGGGAATAACAATATTAACTAGCAACAGTTTGTAGGTCTCCGAAAACAGCTGTAAATTGTTTTCTTCCTTTAAATTGTAGAAGATTAATGGCTACTAATGGCTAGAAGACTAATGGCTCCTGTAAATTGCTCCCAGTTTTCAGACATAGTACATAATGAGGTAACATAATATGTAACAAAACATAACAAGGTAACAAAACATAATACTGTTGCATGCGTACAGGTTTGTTACGAAATGAATGCACAAGTCCGATGAGAAATGAACAAAATTTATTATTATCACAACAAAAATGCTTAAATCTCCTCAGATAATCATGCAGTATTACAATATCTCACAGTAGTTATCTCTTAACTTCTCAAACGTTCAAGAGAACTTAATTCAAAACAGCTAAGGAAAGCTAATCCGCGAATTCGCTACAATCAACAAGAGCAGTTTTCTAAGCAAACTCTTAAAACAATGACAAACAATTTAACTAACTAAAATAACTGACTAACTGAATTGAGATGTTTTCCTCCTTTTTATAAGATGTTTAAATCGTGCGCGAGAACTTTCTCGAAATCAAAAAGAGATATTTATTTATTTATTAAATGTTAAATGCATGTGCTCTTCCGGCTTAGCTTTCCTTCAATATTTGTCACGCGCTGCACTGCACGGGGAATAAAACAATTTAATTTATAATTCAACTAACATCAGCTATTTAAATACCAAATCTGTAACAATACATAACGAGGTATTATATGTCTCCACTCTAAAATGATATTAATATTAATTTAGTCATGCAGTGTAAATAAATCTTCTACTTTAGATATAACCATGTATGCAATGAAGATAAATTCATAGTTTTAAAAGAAACAGCAAAATGACCTGTATGTTGTAAATGAAAGGAACATACCTGAAGTTTTTAAGTATTGCAAAGTGAATGCAAATACACCAAACAGTTCACTGAAACTATGGTGTGGTCACTTAACTCTAATTGACTTTAAAGAATTGCATTCTAAAATGATGATGTATTGTCTAAAGATTCTAAAATGTAAAAATGAAATCTTATTTTGTGAAATTTATACAAAATGCAAACAAAGTTATGATTCCCAAAAGACAATATGCAATAAACTAAGATATTCTTGAACTTGTACACACTGATATTTGTGGGCCTATGTATGTCGCATCTTTAGGTGGTATAAAATATTTCATAACATTCATTGACAACAAATGGTGAAAAATTATTGTGTATGCTCTATGGAAGAAGTATGGAATTTATCGGAAAGCAAATGAAAGTCTTTAATGTTATGTAGACGATAACTGAGCCAAAAAAATACTCTCAACAAGAAATCATTTACTAGCTGTGGTTTCATATTAGCAGAATACCTGATTTCATGGAAATCACATAAAAAAAGGATTATGGCGCTAGCAAGTACTGAAGCAGACAATATAACATTAACTGAAGTTTCAAAGAACAGATGCACTTTACCATTTGCTATTAACAGAGCTAGGTTTTTCGGAGAAGACAGGACCAACTGTGTTATATAATGATAATCAAAATAAACAGTATTTAGTGAAAAATCCAGCTCATCACTCTCGAACAAAACATACTGATACTCATTTCCATTACATTAGAGAGTTGGGTACTTTTCCGTTTTGCCGGCACAGGCGATAAGGTCTTTAATAATGGTACGACTGATGCCAAACAGAATATCCTTGCTGGTAACCTTTTAGGATTCATTTTCAAAACAAGTCACAGCCATTTTTTTAACAGATTGATTGCTTCTTTCAATACTGGCATAAAATTAATTACATAGAATTTTTACCAGATAGTTCAGTTTTATGCCATACGGCCATTAAGTCAATTAGGAAGTCAATAGGCCATTAATTAAGTCAATTAGGATGAAATCACACCACTCAGCCAAGAACAAAAATATAGAAATGGCAAAGTCAAGGGTTAAATTCATCAATTCTAATGAGAATGCACTAGCGAAGTAAAGCACTGTAGTTTTACATAACTTCTGACTGAGTAAGCTAATAGTAAAAACTGAAATAATTCTTGCATTTAAACTTGTATTACAAATCAAGATTTAATTTGAAATTAACATAGATAATTACTGAAAGAATTCGATTTTTGCAGCGTAGTTTATGTGAGATGAGATCACTTGGGTTCACGTGATACGAACCGGCAAATCAGGATGTTGAATCATGAAAGCACAGTAAACTCTTAAAATAATGTCTTTTTACAAATTTATTGTTTTTACTTATTGGCTTCTTACAAAATTTTAAATGATATTAAAATGTTTATGCCTTCAAAATAAAAAATTCTCAGAACTAAAATTTTTTTAACATTTCTTATGCGTATACTGTATGTTGTCACCAATAAAGTCTGCTTGGCGAGATTTGCGGCGGCGAAACTGAAAAGTACCGAGAGTTGTAATATGATGAAAAGGAAACTAATGTTAAGTATGAATCTACACTAGAAATGCCTGTCAATATTTTAATGAAGAATCTAGGTAGGGACAAACATGGAAAATATATGAACCTATTACATCTTAAACTTTAGCTAATGAATGCTTTTTTCTATTTTAGCGTCTGTGAAGGAGAGTGTTGGGAAATTTGCTTTCCCCCGTTGCGGCTATACAGCACTAAAGAGGGCTACAGGCTGCTAAAAAGGATAAGTACTACATAATCATCTGATAGAAGTCCAATTTGATGCGTAGAATCTAGATATGGAACATGGTTGTCGAAAAATAGATTAAGAATAGGAATTTAGCAGAGTGTCCCAAACAGTATTTACTACAAAGCCATATAGACTCTAATGACATGTTGCAGCAGTTTATACCAGTCAAATTAATCACCTACTATCAATCTCCATGTGCTGGTTTTTCTAACATTTCATCAGTTGACAAGCCTTGTTAATCTGTTTCATAAAGCTTGAGGAAAAGCATACATTAAAATGTATGTATCAAGTATACTCCTTTGATGGGCAAATACCATCAACATCACAATAACTGAACAACAGAAGAGAAATTTTTGGCATGACATTTGCAAATAGTCGTCGAGTGTTTGTCTTTGCTAGTAAAATGAAAACAATCACTATGTGGATGAATCTATTTTAGGTAAGCTCATTATCTCAACATACTGAGGAAGGGGCAAATTATGCAAATATTTCTTAACTGTTCAGACTGGCACTAAACTAACCATGGGGAAAAATATGTGGAAAATAAAGCAAGTAATTGAAATAAACGGTACTATTCCGTTTTGAGGACCGTAAAAAAATTGCAGCGAAATTGTATGCGCAAAAGCGCCAAATCTAGCAAACGCACCCATTTAATAGCGTGCCAAATTTAGTGTACGCGCTGATTTCAAATTTCGTAAGTTTAGATATTTCTTAAAAAGCCATTGAAATACTAGTTTAACTTTTAAATCATTTTTTGATATCCTATGGATTTAAGACTTTGGGAATTGTTCATGACGAAAAGTCTGCAATAGAATTTCTTCAAAGAAAAGGCATCATTCATTATATAAAATTATGTTTGAACAACCAACGAGATGAAATTATGCTTTAGCGATATAACTCGGTAGCGAAATAGCGATGCAGGAATCCATTCATGTTTAGCCTTTTTTTATATATAAATTATAATAATGATCTGAAATGGCTATTTACTCTTATGCTTCCATTCAGGTATGTTTAACCTTCTTTTACATAAATTATAATATTATAAAAGTATTACATGAAATTAACCTTTCATCTAACTTAAAACAATAATCTTAGATAGTTATTTACTATTATACTTCTTTTCTTGCATTAGGGTGGCCGGAATTAGTTTTGGCAGCACTGGCATCAACAATAGTTTCCCGATTTTTACGGTCCTCAAAACGGAATAGTACCAAATAAACTAATACACTGAAAGAGGTTTTATCAATACAAATTTCTTTAGTTCAGGAAGGAAAAAATTAGATTCTTATGAAACATAATTGATGAAAAAAGTAAAAATATTAATATATGATAAATATTACTTACTAAAAATACACAACATTAAAGAAACTCCACATCATGTTTGACAATTTGTCGATATTCCACGATGAACTTCCACTAAGTGTCCCTCCTATTAATCAAGAAAAAAACAGAATGTTAACTTTCATATTAACCCATTAACTGCCAAAACTACAAGGAGTGTTTCTTTTCTCATGAAAATAATAACAAATATTAAATTAAGCATTTATAACATAAATTTAGATTGAAAATTTAAAAAAATGCTCTTACCTGTGGAAAAAGCGAGTGTTGCGCTCGTGCAACGTCAGCGGAATAAGACTACGGATTTTTAGTGAGTAGGCTTGTACTCGTGTGATTTTTTTTTTTTTTTTTTTTGAGTGAAGCGCAGGATTACTTTTTAGCTGTATAACGTTTTATAAATCTACAAATCATTTTACTTGTAATTAATTCAATATTAAAATATACATCGTATTTCTTTTAAAAATACAGATTATTTCAATTAAAAGATTCAAGCATGAAAAGCTTGATTACAATCATGATGTAAAGCTACATTACATACTTTGCACCTATAAACAGGTCTGGCTATGGTACTCTTTACTACACAAGTCTTTTGTTATCAACGGACTTTACGATAAAATGTCTACCATCTCCATGCAATGGTTTTTGAATGCTGAATTTACAAGATCTTCCTGTTGCTGATCTATTTCTTGGCTTAATTCTACACTCTCAACAGGAGTTTGCAAAAGGAATAATGCAATCTCGTGTCCTGAAATCTAAAAGAGACTTTATTATTTCCAGAGTAGTAAAACGTGGTGATATTTAGTAAGTTTAGATACGGTCTCACCTCACATAATTTATCAGTATTGTCAATTTGACTACTGTCAGCTAAATGCAAGTTCTGCTTCATATTCCTATACTGCAAACGTGATATCGATTCTCGTACAACAGGAACAGAAATGTCCTTATCAAAAGAAGAATAAATATTTTCTTGAGGTAAAGAATGATATCCTGTAAGCAATAATATTACAATAAATCTTCTCATATAGGCTTCAGATGCAATAAATTCTGGGCGCAATAATTTTTTTTTTTCTTTTCCCCGCTGAGCGTATATATTTGTCTGTTCAATGAGAAGAGAGTAAATGTCTAAACCAAAAAGAAAATCGAAAATCTTTGCACTAGTTTTACCTTGTATTTTGCCTTTTATAATTTCTCTTCTATCTCTTTCTTCATGTCCTTCCTGAGACATAACTAACAGTTCTTTTTCTATCCACTTCAAAATTTCAGTCTTCTGCTTTTTGAACATTTTAGTGTGATTATAACTGCTTTTAGAAAGCTGAAACCTACTTCTTACGTGAATTTCAACTTCCCCTGCAGTATCATTTCGTAAAATATCATTATCATTATTTAAAACATTGCCATTCCTTTCTTCTTCGTCACTAGTTTCTGCAATTTCTGGGGGAACAATAACAATATCAGTTGCATTCTGGTCATTATTAACATTATCATCATCTGTTTCTTCATAAAAAAATCTTTGAAGGGCTTCTTCTAATGTAAGATACCTCATTCTAGGCATTTTTAAACAACCAGAGCATGAACCAGAACATTAAAAGGAATGAATGAAGAAGGAGATTGACTACCCGTTTCCAGCTGACCTTGCGTCAGTGCAACACCTGTTTTCCCTTACTTCCGAAAACAAATATAAACATCTTACTGATGTAATGTTCTGATAAACAGTGACCTTGATTAAAAATAGATCACTCATAAAAAACGCGATTTCTTTCGTTAAATATTTTCAGCAAAAATACCCGGTCGAAAATTTTGCTTAAAGTATGAGATTAATTATTATAAACAAAATGATTGTTGAAGGAAAATATTTTTTACAGAAATAATCTTCATAATATTCCCTACACAAAATCTTCTGCTGGTATAAAACATCTTAGGTAGTTATATTTATATACGCATTTACTTTTACCATTGCATCAACGCAACACCAGCGGCTAATGGGTTAACAGGTTTAACTACATTAGTAATTTTTCAGTCAACATTACACCTGTAATTTTCTTTTAACTTCTTAAAATCTCCTACGCAAGTTTTTTTTTTTTTTTTTTTTTTTTTTTTTTTATATATATATATTTACAAACAGTACATTTATAGCATCATTATGTGTCACACTATTAAGATAAACATAAAGTGATTTTAGATAAATGTGATCATATGGTTAATCTTTGGATTATGGTAACTTGGCGATATTTTGGCAAAAATTTGGTGACCAACCCTGCTACAGCAACATGCTAGTTTTTTTTTTTTTTTTTTTTTTTTTGACACCATTTTGTTTTCACGAAGTAAAGTATTTTTTTTTTTGGACGCCATTTTGTTTTCACGAAGTAAAGGGTTTTTTTTTTTTTTTTTCTCGACATTTTTTTTCCAACAATCTGCTACCCGAATTACGCTTATGCTAGAACTTTTATGGAATAAAAGCGCTTAATCATGACGAAGATTAGGTGCGAAATCTGGAGAAAGTGCAGAATCGCCCACTGCTTGCTACATTTTTAAGAATTGCACATACAAGGTATCATCCATGTATACGTCGACTTATTTTCACTTAAAAAACATCCCAGAATTGCACAAAAATTGCATTGTGCACACTCTTGACTTTATCCATGTACACTGCTAAATTCCTAGCTAGTAAACTTCATCGCCTTACCAAAATGTCGCCAAACTACCTGTTACCATATTCCAAAGATTAGCCGATCATATTTTTATCTTACCTTATGAATAATTAATAAATCAGAAACATTAATATTAATATACTAACTGGTAAATAGTAACAGAATATCATGTGGCCACTAGAATCATCTGATTAGGTTTGGTTCATTTGATTAAGGCAAAGCACTCTAGGGTTATACATCTAAGGAAAGGGATGTTTACATGGATGGTTTACTAAGGGAAACTGGCTCGCATACACATCTCATAAGGGGAAAACCACAACATCCGGCCGATTTTTTAAAATGTCCCGCTATTTAGAAAACATCTGTATTTCTTATTTTAAACGTACTGTTAAAATATATTACCTATTATTTATTAATTATTATAGTGAATATAAAGAAATAAAAAAACACATAAATGCATGCAGAGTAAACTAAATTAGGCGATGTAACGAGTTAGATTTACTTGGTGGTGTTCGATCATTGTCGTTACTTCTCGTCAAAGAATATGTATTGTTAACGTAGGAACAGCTAGCATTAGCTGAAGGCTTATCTTCTTTCCACACCATAAAGCAAATCAAAGTTTCAGATCAATTGATTGTACATCGCAAATGATCAAAAGATTGTACGACAAAAAATTTGCACGTTAAAGGACAAAAACCGAAGCAATTATCTGTAATGTTTTTCCACCATATCCGTTTTCACAATTGCAGAAAGAATTAGATAAATGCACATTTTATGTCCATATATTATGATATTTCCAACCACAAAGATTTAAAATTATTTCCCACAATTGTTAGACTTTTTGAAACAGGAATTAAAATTAGAATATAGATTTTGTTTCATTGTCAGGTGAAACTTTTGGTAAATCTTCGGATTATAGTAACGTAGCAATTTTTTAGCGAAAATTTGGCAACCAACCCTGCTACAGCAACCTGCGAGTTTTTCTTTTGGACGCCACTTTGTTTTCACGAAGTAAACGCATGTTTTTTTTTTACTCAACATTTTTTCCAACAATCTGCTAGTCGAATTATGCTTATGCTAGAACTTTTATGGAACAAAAGTGCTTAATCATGACGAAGAATAGGTGCGAAATTGTTTCTAAGTGCTTATTAGCTAAAATCACAATCGGAATTTTCCGGAAAGTCCATTTTCACCAGGGTTCTTACAACACCATTCAAACTTATCTGTAATATTCTTCCTTTTACACAATCTCATGTCATTCCCACATGTTGGACATTCATACATATCTGCAATTAATCCTACACTCATACACCATTCAAGCAACTCTTTTAGATGATCACATAAATGCGATAAAAATTTGGAATTTACTTTAGAGAGGGCCATAGGATCCAAATATTAAACAACACTGTTTCACACAAGATACAAGATGGAATGTACTTCTCAGATTATTGCTAAAGTCCTAGCTAGTAACCTTTATTGCCTCACCAAAATGTCGTAAAACTACCTGTTACCATATTCCAAAGATTTTTTTCCCCCCAATGGCAGATTATGAACAGTTACAGTTTCATAACAGAGTCCATTAATCTATACTAAGGCCAGACGTGGTGGTCTCTTTATTATGGAGACACCTAGTAGGTGGGCCACCATTGTCTCCTATGAAGGGACAGACAGTTACAACCATGCCTTCTGTAGGATTCGAACCCAGTCCCTTCAGTATCGCAGTCAGGTTCCCCTAACCACAATACTGTCTGGGCGGCTGCCGGGTGAAACTTAAATAATTTTTGATTCAATAAGTACTATTTTAAAAAAGAATAATTTGAACAATAAAACTACTGCCTATTGTGAGGCAATAATTTTATTGTTGACACTAACACAAATTTTGGTGGAAAAGCTAGAAGAGGCATCAATAACATTTTTACAAAACTTAAAGAAAGTTTGAACCAAAAAATTATTCGAGTTGGTTGTGCAAGAGCACGTTCTACTCAATACTATTTAAACAGCATCTGACTTACTTCGAGTGGATATTGAAAATATTATTTCAAAAATTTATTCATATTTTTATATATATACTGTACATGTCGAAAGTTTGAAGGATTTTTGTGAAAGCGCAGAAATCGAATATAAAAGAATTATTGATTACAACAAAACACGACGGCTAGCTCTTTTACCAGTTGTAGAAAATACTTTAAAAATATACGAACCATTTAAATCATACTTTTTTATCACAAGATAAATGTCCAAGAATATTACAGCTGTTTTTTGAAAATGACACATCACAAATTTGTCTTCAGTTCATCCACAACCAAGCTACATTATTTCCACACTGTTGCAAAAATTATTGAAAGGGACAAAATTTCAATTACGGAAGTGTCAAATGAAATCAATAATTTAAAAACAAAATTGTGAGAAATAACTGATAACAATTACATTCCTTTAGTTATTCGAAAAGACATCACTAGATTGGAAGAAAAAGGTACCATATTAAACGACCTGATTTTTTTTAAAGAAGTCAGAAATTTTTATAATAACTGCTTGGAATATCTTCAAGAACGGACAGTTCAATTCCAGGATATTAAAAACTTTCATTGGGTGACATTAAAAACCGAAATTTTATGGGAATATGTGGAAAAATCTTTTTAATATGTTAGTAACTATTTTCCAAAAAATAATACTTGCGAAAATGATCTTTTTGATGAGGTGTCATTGGTAAAAAGATGCGTTATTGATGAAAAAATTAAATGCTAGTTGTCTGAAAATGCGGAAACAGACAAAAAATGAATCGAGTTATTCTTTTATTTTAAACAGAATAATATTCTTTATGAATATATTTTGAAAATTGTAGAACACATGTTCTCCCTTCCAGGAACAAATGCAGCAACAGAACGCGTTTTTTATAGTATCAATAAAATATGGACAATTGAAAAAAAGTAGTTGAACCATTAAAACTTTTAAAATCTGTATTAAGCCTAAAGTATAATTTGATCAATTCACGTGAGAAATTTCACATTTTAATAAATGATCTGAATCTATTGCAAAGTATTCACTTGGATAAAAAATATAACCGTGGAAGAAAATCCTAATTTTTTAAATAAAATATTAAATTAATTAAAAAACAATATTCAAATTCTTGTTTTTTTACAAATATTTTTATAGTTACCAACTGTTGTTAAAAAATATATTTTTGTATATTTATAGACATGTATATGAATGTATATAATGAAATATATTTTTTGAATTCTTGGTCTGCTTTCATAACTAAATTATAATTCTCATTTCATTCCATTTGTCCCGTTTTGTGTCAATGAAAATGTGGTCACTTTACCCTAATATCATCAGAAAACTACCCTGAAAACTCACCTTCATTAAGGTGATGGCAGTATTATGAAAGTTCTTACCTTATATTTATGCAACTTTCAAAAGGGTGCCAGCTCCTTCTTGAAAGAATTCTCACTTAGGTTTATTTCTAATACCATTATGCACAAATTTTAGATAGACCGCAACATTTTATAAAAAATGCATAACTTCTATGCGCTTCGTCACATAGATACGTACTAAAAACTCAAGTCAATTATGACACAAAAACTATTCAATTTTAGTGCTGTTCACAAAATAACAAAACAGATCTTAAATAAACAATTTAAAGATTACAACTAATATTGGACATGATCCACTCGCAGATTTCAAATTCTATTCGGCTTGCAGACATGTCAGGAAGCAGAGCTGATACAAGGTACGAGTTTCGCAAATTTTATATTCAGGCATTATTTGAAGAAATATGACCATTAATTATCTACCAAACAGTGATTCTACGTCTTGTGCTTAAAAGTTTTGCAAATAAATACACTGATTTTGCAATCGTAAACTGTACAAAGAGAACTAACTATACAGCGAGTTTCTTAAATATACACACATTAATGAGATAATTGCTAGAAAAAAATATCGAAATATTAGTTAATGAAATAAAAAATTATTACTACAGTATAAAATGATCTCTTAACAAAATACCTAAACTATTTACTAACATATACAATGCATAGCAATCCCTTGAAAATTATTTGAGAAAGGAATAAGGCATTTGAAACGGAAACACCTAGAAATTTTAAATGATACAGAACATTTTATGATCTAAATATTTTTCTTGAAACTTACTTTCTGAAATTCGAGGCATATTAAGAAATAATTTTACTCATACCATAACCTAAACAATGACAAAATAGCAACACGTCACTTTTCCGAAAAGAACCCAATGTCTATTAAACAGTTGCCCTCTGGTGGTTCAAATTGCAACAAATAAAGCATTGGTTATTCAAGAGTTTCTCTTTTAATTTTTAATTAAAGTCACATTTAACGGAACTGTATCCTGCAAATAATTCAGTATAATAATTTGATATTTTACACTGTGATTTCGTACTGATAAAATTTTGTTTAAAAATAAAGAGTTATCAACTCTTTCCGTAAGGGCAGCAAATGGTGCGCGATACCAAAGTAATTAAATACTTCGAAAATAGAAAGATATAACTTAAATTACATATTTTTACTTATAACTATTATTTTATTCCATTTACATTCCTGAAATTATTTCAGTATTCATTAAACAGACATCGTGACAATTAATTCATTAAACTTTATCGTTTATCAATAAAAATGCCGTAAAAAATCTAAGTATGGTTTGAATCTGGACGAAGGCAACTAGTTAAATAAGATTTAATTAAGACAAAATCCAGCCTCACACTGATGTTAATTTTGCAAACAAATTCTATGCCTTCAAAAAAAAAAAAAAAAAAAAACATACATAGTTTTTTTGGTACCTCTTTTTAAAGCGGAACCCGAGATTGAATCACCAATCAATGGAGATATCGCGCAAAATCTATACCTCGCCATGTGACCATATACCTCTTCGATCCCAGTCGAACCTTAATCCACTGGGACTTGTTTATATTACTTTATTTCACTATTTATTATCCGTGAAATTTGTGTGAAATCTACAAAATGGAAATTGCTACTATGTTATCGCTATATGATTGTCATATAATTGCTTTTATTATCGACTCAGAACTACCTACATCTCCTAGGAGACCACTGCACTTCATGCGAATGTATCATCCATTCGTCTGGAATTTTATGACTTTTATTTCAGAGCCTAAGGGACTTATGATACTTTTCTATGAATGGAGATCTTTAATCTCCGATTCGATCTTACATCTCGTTACGCCTTCTGATGTCACCTCTGTGGTGATTCAGATGTGATGAAGCATCAAAAGTGAGACTCCACGTGGGATTCCATGCACAAAAGCATCTTAAACCTTACCACGTAGTCATATATTAGCAACGTGTTGGATTTTTGCTTTCGCCGTGTGATTATTCATTTTTTATGAGGTTTTCGAATTAGCCTTGTTTATTTAAAAATACATACTTTCCCCCCTTTTTTTTAATATGACGTTATCAATCTTTAATATACCAAGTAATGAGGTGGATAAAATATCATCTTTTCAAGAAGGAATTAAATTTTTCCCTGACAAACGAGCATGCGAAAATAGTAACTACATAAAACTTTATGTTAATGACGAAACCATTTGAAGGGGCAATGTTAAAAATTACAAAAAGAAGGGCCTCTGTGTTTGAAATTGGTTTAGCGGTTCCAGAAGATCGTTCGTCACAAGGAGTTTAGAGTAGAAGGAGAGAAAAGGTTCAACTCAAACGGTGACTCTTGGCGGCCATGTTACTATAACTGTTGTGACTTGCATATTCACAAAGCTTACAGACCTCTTCCTCAATGGTCTGCACTCATTGGATGAACACATCTGCTCGGCGGTAATATTTAGAATGGTAAGTTATCGACTTATAAGCTTGGTAATTAACGCCAAACATACCTTGTGGGCTTTCAGTAAAGCGAATAGAAACAGCGTTTATTTCATTCAACAATTTTTTTTATTTTATGAATGAAAGCTAAGGGAGGTTGTGTGTGGAATATATTTTAAACAACCTACTGATCTTATTAACAGTTCATTTGTACTTGGTTAAAGAATGAATTTAAACTGTTAAAAGTACGATAATTGTTTTGCAAGAAAAAGTGTTTACATGGAAATGGCATATGTACCTTTTCGTCACTTCTGTTAGAGACTGTTGTGTAAATTTCAATAGCGCATTAATTTATACAAATAAATGAATATTAAAAAAAATAAACCAAATAAAAACATTCAATAAACATTTAATGGAGTCGAATACCTATTCTTTTTACTTAAATTATGCGTAAGTATAACAAAAATTACATTTTATTTCATTATGCGCTATTTCTATTGTAACGCTTTTCGGAGATCTTGGACCATAATCTTGCTACTGATACCTACTACAAAGAGTACAAACCAGTAAATAAAAATAAGAAAAATTAGCATTAATAAAAATAAAGAAAATAAAGGTGTTAAATTTTTAACACCGCACTCGAAGGCGAAAAGACTAATAATTAATATAGCCTTTCAATAAAATGAGGATAAAAAGTAAAAGTCACAAGCGGAAAACAGAACCCGCGATCTAGAAGTCCGATAATTTCTTTCGTGCTCCGTACCGCTGAACTGCGGTTTCTCCCTTGACGTTTTTTGGTACACGACGTTTATATACGAATAGCAAAGCCGGTGAAGAGAAAGCTGCCAAACACAAGATTCTGTAAAGCTACGTTTCCTGTTTTAACCAGTCGGAGCAAACAGTAGAAGAAATGGTCTGTAGGCCTTATGAATATGTCTGTAACAAGGAAGACAGTGATAGCAATATACATTTAATTTTTGAAGCATGGGATCTTGTGTTACATATGGATGGATGAATCGATTTTCTAAAAAGATTCCACGGATTACTTTTCACGCCTAAGTATTGACTTTTCATGTATTGTATTATGAATATTTCTATTTACCTTCTCCTCTGGATCTCAGTTTTTTCATAAGGTTGCTGGTTCTGCACATGTCGTAATTTGAAACATAGAGAGGGGACGTTTGGACTAAGCACGTGTTCTTGTAGGAATGGTAACATGAGGTGAGCGTTCATTTATAAAATCCCGAAGTTCACGGGATAATCCATTAAGATTCCATGTAATTGCATGTAAAGACTCATGTACATTACTAGACATGGTCTGCATTAATATTTGAAGTGAAAAATTCTCGAAAATGGCATAGAGAATATACAATTTACCCGTAGCGTTTTAGGCATTTTAGCCGAAATCCTTTTTACAATGTTAATAAAAGAGTAACCATTAAACATATCATTGAATTCTTTCACAAATTTAAAAATATCATGAAATATGCTAAGTCCTGCGCCACCAAATTACTCTCTGGTAGTTCCGCTGTTGTTTTTTAAGGCATTGGCATAGGATAGATCTGGCCAAATGTGATAAATTTACTGCCCGTGCTACTCTTATCCTGTGAATTACTAGCACTTGCAGGTTTAGTACTAATACCTTAGTAGCAGTTTGTTTGATAGAAAACTCAGGACATCCACGATAGTTCGCGGTATGTCTTGTTCGTAAGCAGTTATACCTCTTAATGTTAGCTACTCTTTTCGTGCTACAATCCCCGTTTTTGTGAAGACCTGTGCACTTAACACAACGTAATTTTAATTTGCATACATCAGATGAGCGGCTAACTTGCTGGGAATTATGACATTGCAAAACACTTTCCTGTACCTTATATGCAACAACAAATACATTAAAACACACACAAAAAAAAACTGTTATTTTGTAAACCCACTCTATAGCCAATTCATTTACAAGTTTTTTCTGAAATAAGGATATAGGCAATCTTGCTTTTATTCGAAACATTTGGGAAACTTTTTTCACCTTAAAACCTTTACTTTTTAGTTCTTGTTGTATATCATCTAGCAAGCAGTTCAATGGAAGACCCTTAAATCAACCTTACCAGGTCTCACAGATTTATGTGTTGTCCTTGAGTGATCAATTTGATGCTCAACCGAATTTATAGTAATTTCTCTACGTGCGTGCTCAGATTTGAGAAAAACTTAAAAAAATTTCCCGTTAACACGGCCAGAGAATACAGATTTTTTTCACTTGTTAAAACGTCCAAAAATTAAAAAAAAAATTAACATCTGGTTTCATCATTATCGTCTTAATCCTTGGGTGTTGAACAGGTAACGAGAATTCGTTCGGCCCAGCCTGTGTGTCCATGCAATTATCATTTATCAGTATCAGCATTAATACCATTATTTACATCATGAAAAATCAGCATTAGTACCATTATTTATATTACTATTATTCAAAGTAAAATGATAAAATTTGCTTTGCAAAGGAGCATCAACATTACTTTTAACTAACTTGAGTGATGTAGCCACTTTCCTTCGGCGAAATAAAGCCATCCGAAGCTCTGGTGTCATTTACAGTAGTTCTTTTGTTACCTTATGGTGTTTCATCGTAGCAGATCCATTATTCAGTTCAACACAAAGAAGAAGCATTATCAAAAGAAACATCAGCTATACATGATGCGTTAGCATTACTATTAGAGTTATTGCTTTTCATACTTCTTACTGAATCATCATTAATAACATCAATTCTACTAAAATTTTTAAAGGTTTTTTAAAAGCATTCCATCAGAACTAGTCTGAACAACAAGTTTCTTTGCATAATCTTTTACGACTATAGCGAAAAATTAGGCTTCGACAACACGTGTTGAAAATACGTCAACGAATCATACGGAAGGAAGAATTGTAGAATCTAACTATATAATACATTCTGAGCTGCACCTAAAAATTTAAAGAGGACATGTAAGGGATATTTAAAGTGAAACTGTAACATACATATTTCCGAATTCAAATTAAAGATTCATGGTGTTAATTTTAATATATTTATACAGGAAACTCACTTGAAACATTTTATTTAGGGGAGAGGAGCAGATTTCAAAAGAAATTCGCATATATATAAATGTTGTATGATCTTAAATTCACTTAGTGCGAAATCGAGTTATTCTACTGCTTGCGCAATTGCTGCAAAGTAAGGTAATAATTACTGCAAAGTAAGTTAATAATACAATTGAAATTTTGTTATTTATGATTTAATTCAAGTCCCCGTTAAACATTTTTAACAATTTACGTTCAAGTTCAATTTACTTTAAAACAATTTTCGAAATGAACTTACTAACTATGGATTCACTCTTTTAGATATTCTATAAAATTAATCTTAGGAGATAAATAATCAATATTTCTTTAAAAAATAATTATATAGTATATATATATATCAAATTCAAAATAAAGTAATTAAAGTAAATTAAAAGCCTATGACTTGGCTAAAGCTGCAGAATTAAACCAATAATA